TGTCTCATCAAATTTTCCCTCTACTGTTTCTATCTTCACACAATCATGCTATTTCTCTTATTATTATTATTTTTAAATACAAATGTGCCCAGCTGGAGCACAGTGGTGCAGTCATAGTTCATTGCTCATTGTAACGTCAAATTCCTGGCCTTAAGCAATCCTCCCATTTCAGCCTCCCAAAGCACAGAGATTACAGGCATGAGCCACTGCACCAGGCTCATCTCTCTCTCTTTTTTTTTTTTTTGAGATGGAATCTTGCTTTGTTGACCAGGCTGGAGTGCAGTGGCATGGTCTCGGCTCACTGCAACCTTCACCTCCTGGGTTCATGCCATTCTCTGGCCTCAGCCTCCTAAGTATCTGGGACTACAGGCGCCCATCACCACGCCCAGCTAATTTTTTGTATTTTTAGTAGTGACAGGGTTTCACCATGTTAGCCAGGATGATCTCGATCTCCTGACCTTGTGATCTGCCCGCCTTGGCCTCCCAAAGTGCTGGGATTACAGGCGTGAGCCACCACGTCCGGCCATCTCTCATCTTAAAAAACAACAAATGCGGTCAGGCACAGTAGCTCATGCCTGTAATCCTAGCACTTTGGGAGGTTGAGGCGGGCAGATCACCTGAGGTCAGGAGTTCGAGACCAGCCTGACCAACATGGAGAAACTCCATCTCTACTAAAAATACAAAATTAGCTGGGCATGGTGGTAGGTGCCTGTAATCCCAGCTACTTGGGAGGCTGAGGCAGGAGAATTGCTTGAACCCAGGGGGCAGAAGTTGCAGTGAGCCGAGATCAAACCATTGTACTCCAGCCTGGGTGGGCAACAAGAGCGAAACTCTGTCTTAAAAAACAACAACAACAACAAACGTAACAGCATACTCACTGGTGAGAAACTGAAAGCTTTCCCTCTAAGATCATGAGCAAGGGAAGTTCCTTCCTTCCTTCCTTTCTTCCTTCCTTCCTCCTTCCTTCCTTCCTTTTTTCCATCAGTCTTCCTTCCTTCCTTCTTTCCGTCAGCCAGCCTTCCTTCCTTCCTTCCTTCCTTCCTTCCTTCCTTCCTTCCTTCCTTCCTTCCTTTCTTCCTTCCTTCCCTCCCTCTTTCCTTTCTCTCTCTCTCTTTCTTTCTTTCTTTCAACAGAGTCTCACTCTGTCGCCCAGGTTGGAGTGCAGTTGCACGATCTTGGCTCACTGCAGCTCAGTCTCCTAGGTTCACACCATTCTCCTGCCTCAGACTCCCGAGTAGCTGGGATTACAGGTACCTGCCACCACTCCCGGCTAATGTTTTGTATTTTTGTAGAGACAGGGTTTCACCGTGTTAGCCAGGATGGTCTTGAACTCCTGCCCACCTCAGCCTCCCAAAGTGCTGGGATTACAGGCGTGAGCCACCTTGCCCACTGGGAAGTACTTTCAATACTTCTATTTAGCATAGCACTGTAAGTCCTAGCCAGAGCAATTGGGCAGGAAAAAGAAATAAAAGGCATCCAAATTGAAAAGGAAGAAGTAAAATTATCTCCAGTCGTAAATGACATGATCTTATATGTAGAAACCCCTAAACATTCCAAAAAGCCTGTTATAACTAATAAACAAATTTAGTAAAATAGCAGGATACAAAATCAACACAGAAAAATCACTGTTTCTATATACTAACCACGAACAATCTGAAAAGGATATTAAGGAAACAGTTTCACTTACAATAGCATGAAAAAGAATAATAAAATACTTGGGAATAAACTTCACCAAGGAGGCAAAAGACTTGTACAATGAAAACTACAAAATTCTCAGAGAAATTAAAGATACAAATAAATAGAAAATTAATCCATGTTCATTGGTAGTCTTTTTTTTTTTGTTTTTTTTGTTTTTTTTTGAGATGGAGTCTTGCTCTGTCGCCCAGGCTGGAGTGCAGTGGCCAGATCTCAGCTCACTGCAAACTCTGCCTCCCGGGTCTACGCCATTCTCCTGCCTCAGCCTCCCGAGTAGCTGGGACTACAGGCGCCCGCCACCTCGCCCGGCTAGTTTTTTGTATTTTTAGTAGAGATGGGGTTTCACCGTGTTAGCCAGGCTGGTCTCGATCTCCTGACCTCGTGATTCGCCCGTCTCGGCCTCCCAAAGTGCTGGGATTACAGGCTTGAGCCACTGCGCCCGGCCTCATTGGTAATCTTAATATTTTTATGATAGCAACACTTTCTAAAGTGATCTACAGATATAATGCATTTCTTAGCAAAATGCAATGGCTTTTTTTTTTTTCAGAAATGGAAAAATTCACTTCAAAATATGGACCCTCAAGGGATCCTGAATGACCAAAATAATCTTGGGGAAAAAAAGAACGAAGTTGGAGATCTCATGCATCCTGATTTCAAAACTTATTACTAAGTTGCAGTAATCAAAACAGTGTGGTACTAGCATAAAGACAGACACATAGACCAAGGAATAGAATAGAAAGCTCAGAAATAAGCCCTCACATATATGGTCAAATGATTTTGACAAAGGTGCCAAGGCTATTCAATAGATAAAACGAGGTCTTTTCATACAATGGCACTGGGGAAAATGGATATTCACATGCAAAAGAATGAAGTTGGATCTTTACTTTATACCATATATAAAAATTAAAAATTGATCAAGTTGCTACAAGAGCAAAAATGATAAAACTCTTAGAAGAAAACATAAGGCTGGGCACAGTGGCTCACGTGTGCAATACCAGCACTTTGGGAGGCTGAGGCAGGTGGATCACGAGGTCAGGAGTTTGAGACCAGCCTGGCCAATATGGCAAAACCCTGTCTCTAGTAAAAATACACAAAATTAGCTGGGCCTTGTGGCAGGCACCTGTAATCCCAGCTACTCAGGAGGCTGAGGCAGGAGAATCGCTTAAACCTGGGAGGCGGAGGTTGCAGTGAGCTGAGATTGTGCCATTGCACTCCAACCTGGGCAACAAGAGTGAAACTCTGTCTTAAGAAAAAAAAAAAAGGATAGTTAACCTGTATAACATATCAATCCTCAACAATATCTGCTTCCTTTTTTTTTTTTTCTGAGACAGAGTCTCGCTCTGTAGCCCAGGCTGGAGTGCAGTGGCACCATTTTGGCTTACTGCAACCTCTGCCTCCCAGGTTTGAGTGAGCGGTTCTCCTGCCTCAGCGTCCTGAGTAGCTGGAATTACAGGCACATGCCACCACACCCAGCTAATTTTTGTATTTTTAGTAGAGACAGGGTTTTACCATGTTGGCCAGGATGGTCTCAATCTCTTGACCTCATGATCCGCCCACCTCAACCTCCCAAAGTGCTGGGATTACAGGCGTGAGCCACCGCACCTGGCCCAGATAATATTACTCTTTTTTTTCTTTTTTTTTGAGGCAGAGTCTTGCTCTGTGGCAGGCTGGAGTGCAGTCGCGCGATCTGGGCTCACTGCAAGCTCCGCCTCCCGGGTTCACGCCATTCTCCTGCCTCAGCCTCCCGATTAGCTGGGACTACAGGCGTCCGCCACCACACCCGGCTCATTTTTGGTATTTTTTTTTAGTAGAGACGGGGTTTTACCGTGTTAGCCAGGATGGTTATTACTCTTAATTTTTTTTTTTTTTTTTGCAATGGGATATTTTACATCTCCACTACTGCCTTAGTCAGCTAAGGCTACCATAACAAAATATCATAGACTGGTGGCTTAACCAACAGAAATTTATATATATTCTCACAGTTATTTCTCACACATAAAAAACTATCTTTTAGTGTTTTCACCTCCCTCCCCCAGCCACTGGATTGGAATTCCCTAAGGGCATGGATGTTTCTGATTCATCTTTGTATTCCAGGCTTTAGCACAAGGCCTGAGGTGAAATGGGGTTCTGTAACCATTTGATGAAGTGTAATCAGAGCTATTCAAGGGGGGGAAAGAAGCTGCCTTGAGATGATTAATTATCTGATACTTGAAATCTCCCAACTGGCTGGTTGAAGGCCCCTTGGGGACATTCCAGTGAGTGTCCAGCTAATTGAACTGTTTTCTGACACAGTTTGAGTCTAGTTCTGGTAATGTCTGTAACTCTTTTATCAATGTTAATTTCCATTCCCCATTCAGATCTGTGTAGCTCTGGACATTGGCCAGAGGCAAGTGCTGGACCTATATACCTCCTCCCACCTCTCTCCCATGTTCCCTGAGAGGCAGGCATCTAGCTTTCTAATGGATGTGGCTGCCTCCTTATTGAAATGAAGAAGGGACTCAGAAGAAACAGCACCTCTTGATGGCTGATACCCTAGGTCTCTGAGCTAATGTGGACTAGAGGACACATCCTGTTTATTCTGAAGTTTTGAAGAGTCTGAGATGCTATCCTACTTGCCAATCAGAGTCAGCCTGAAAAGGTTATCTACATATGTACTAACAGAACACAGGATCTCTAATTCAGAGACCGACTGCATCTTGCGTCAGTTCCCCAGGCCCAAATTCCCCATTATGTCGGGGAGTGACACAGTGAAAGCCTCTGGGTGTAGAGAGGTTTACAAGAGAGGAACCCTAATATTATGAAACTCAGAGCTTGTGCAGGATAGGAGGCTGTCCCTCTTCCTTGAGTGGTAAGGGAGACAAACAGAGAGGGAGAGGGAGGGTGTGTGTGTGTGTGTGTGTGTGTGTGAGAGAGAGAGAGAGAGAGAGACAGAGAGAGAGAACAAGGAAATAAGCAAATGGTTGTGGGTTTTATTACCTTTGAAAGGGAGCAGTTGGCTCTTGGGAAGTGCATAGGAGAGGAAATATTTTGTATCTTCCAAATATCATTCAAATATCTTTTAATCCAGATGCCGATAATCTGCTCAGAAAGCCCTGACTGCACACTTATTGTTTCTCCCATGTAGCCCTAGCCAGGAGTCCTTTCCTGGCTCCTTCTATCCCCGCAGTTCTTTTCTTGGGGAGGACAGGTAGGGTTTCTTAGGGAGTTAGGATGAAGAAAGCCTAATATGATGAATTCCCCATCCAGCACTGTGCCCAGCACATAGCAGACATCCAATAAAGGTCTGTTAAATGAATGACAAGGACCCATTGTTTAAGATTTTAATAAAGATGGGGCAAAGGGTTGAGCTGGTCGAAAAGTCCTCAACGTCCTGACGGGACGCCCCTGAAGCCAAGGCAGTTTGAGCCCATTCATTATTCTCTCCTGGATCTTAGGCAAAGCCCCGGGCCCCTTGGAGCAGCACCAGGGTTCCCGACACCCCCACCGACAGGGTCGAACGTGCACAGGCTGGGACCACGCCGGAGTTCATTGAGCCCTCTTGGGGGAGGGCAGTTCCAGGGACCAGGAAAGGATTTCCGTCCAGTGTCAGGTTATCCACCTGGGGCAGCTCGTCAGGCCGCGGCCTCCTGTTCAGTCTGTTGCAGCTGAGATCGAGCACTCTGAGCTTGGCCGGCAGTCCTTTGGGCACCTGTTCCAGCCCAGCGAACGACAGATTGAGGGAGTTTAGGGCGCTGGACCACATACATCTCGGAGCGCTAGGGTCTGCGGTGGCGCGCAGCGAGTTGTGGCTGAGGTCTAGGCTGTGGGGCTGCACACCTGCCGCCGCCAGTGCAGCGCACACGCCTGTGGGCGTCTCCATTCCTGTGTTGCGCAGCGCTAGATTCTGGAGGGCCGGGAACTTGTGGGGACAGAGAGTCGCGATCAGTCCGCGTTCGCCCAGTCCAGGATTGTCAGACAGGTCTAGGCTGGTGAGGGCCGGGAAAGCGCGAACCTGTTCGCAGGAAAAGGCAGGCGAGTGTGCTTGGGCAATGCTCAGTACCTTGAGGCCTGGCTTGAGCCACTGCTGCAGCTCGGCGAGCCAGGAACGCCCTGTCGCCCACGACACGTTGCGTAGGCGCAAGCTGGAGAGTGCAAGCCCTGTGGCTTCCAGAGGCAGGGGAGGCATGGTGCCGGTTATCTCTAGGTCCTCGAGCGTCAGTTCCTGGAGCCGGGAGTACGCTAGTACACGCAAGGCGCCTACCAGTAGCTGAGCAGGAACCTGTGCGGCTCCTAATGTGAGCCGCCGCACGCGGAGAGCCTTGACCGTGTCAGCATACTGCCGCGGGTCGGCATCGGGATCGACGCGCTTTAGAAACGGCTCTAGGCTGAGACCGCCGACACGGATCTCCACCTCGACTGCAGAAACACACTGGAAGGCTTCGGACCAGTCGGGATGAGGTTCAGAGAAGTTGCAGACGCAGCGGAAATCTTCATCGTCCAGCTCACAAGGTTCTGGCGTGGTCGCAGAGACGTGCACCAGCGGCAGCAGCAGCAGCAAGCAGGATGCGCGCTCCTGGGGAGAGAGCACAGGTCTAGGAGGCCCCATCCGACCCCTGTGGCTCCCGAGTGGCACACGTTCGACCCCAAGACCCTACACTCACCATGGTGGATAGGTCTTCCCAGCCTCTGAGCTCCGGACAGGCTCTGGAAGGGCTCTAGCTTCTTTCCTAAACAGCAGCACCCGCCAGCTTCCAGGCCACACTTGTGAACTTGTGAATACTTGTGAACTGTCTCTAAGAGTTTACGTAATCCTGGGATGTCATTCAGTTCCCTCCTCTGTGAACCCTGATCACCTCCCCACCTCTCTTCCTCCCAGCCAGCCCCCTTCCTTTCTTGGAAATATAGCAGTGAAGGATGTTTCAGGGAGGGGAGCCCTAACAGGAAGGATTCTGCAGGGCATCTAGGGTTCTGTGTCTCCTGGCAGTGTCCTGATGACTCAAGCGCCCCAGGCGGTGAATGCCCTGATGACTTAGGCGCCTAAGGCGTCTCTGGTGGGTATGGGAAAAAGATGATCCTCAGTGCCTTAGGCCAGTACCATACTCTGCACTATGCAAACCCCCAAACCACCACGTTATATCCCAGAGACTCTACTTGATTCGTTTATTTGACTTCTTCCTTGTCTTGGTTTATGTTGATCTCCCGCCACCCAAATCCAAGTCCCTGATTATCCTCAGATATTTAACTGGATGTTTTGTGGAAGAGATTGTGAACCTCATCTGTTGGCACCAAGGGATGGAATTAGGTTCAAGAAAAGGAAGTTGCTCTGAAGACAAATTCCCCCTTTTTTTTTTCTTGCTCCTTTGATTAAGTAATAACTTTCTTAAAAGTGGAGATGTTTAACAGAGACACATTGGCCAAGTCGCTCGGTCACTTACAGTATCCATTTTCTGTCCTGAATTGTGAAGCAAGGTATTTTGAACCAGTTTTCCCACTTGCACCTTGCTCTCTCCTGCCCTCCTCTCAGTACAATCTCTGTGCCCTAGGAAGGAAGGGATGGGACTATGTTGAATGAGGATTAATTAGTAACTCACCAGTTTTGCAAAAAACAAACAAAAACAGAAAACAAAACAAAACGAAAAAACAGCAAATGTCCCAGAGGATAAGGAGCTATGCAGTTACAACAGCCCTCACAGGTACACATCCCTAGACCTCTGGGGAAAGAACTATATGAAAGTCTTTTTTTTTTTTTTTTTTTTTTTTTAAGACCGAGTTTTGCTGTGTCGCCCAGGCTGGAGTGCAGTGGTGTGATCTTGGTTCACTGCAACCTCTGCCTCCCAGGTTCAAGCGATTCTCTTGCCTCAGATTCCCAAGTAGCTGGGATTACAGGAGCCCACCACCACGCCCAACTAATTATTGTAGTTTTAGGAGAGACAGGGTTTCACTCTGTTGGCCAGGCACTCCTGACCTCAGGTGATTTGCCCACCTTGGCCTCTCAAAGTGCTGGGATTACAGGTGAGAGCCACCACATTTGGCCTGAATGTCTTTTTTATTTTTATTTTATTTGTATTTGTATTCTTATTATTTATTTATTTTTTATTTATTTTTAATTTTTGAGACGGAGTTTCGCTCTTGTTGCCCAGGCTGGAGTGCAATGGCACAATCTCGGCTCACTGCAATCTCCGCCTCCTGGGTTCCAGCAATTCTCCTGCCTCAGCTTCCCGAGCAGCTGGAATTACAGGGATGCGCCACTACCCCTGGCTAATTTTGTATTTTTAATAGAGATGGGGTTTCTCCATGTTGGTCAGGCTGGTCTCGAACTCCCGACCTCAAGTGATCCACCCGCCTCAGCCTCTCAAAGTGCTGGGATTACAGGTGTGAGCCACTGTGCCTGACGGAAAGTCTTTTTTAAATTCCCACTTCCTCTTTAATTGAGAAGTAGCTGCAGATTTGTCCCCAGTCCAAACAAGAAGGCTCATCACTGCCCCCTGTGGGTCCTGTTGGGCATACCCCAATGCACTGGGCCATGCCCTGGTGCCATGCCAGGCCTCTGTGATATCCCTGAAGACCAAGATGTGAGTATATCTGACTTGAAGTCAGCCAGTCTTGGAATCCCAGCTTTACCACTGAGGTTGTGAGACTTGGGCCTCCCTTTTGTGAAACAGAGATGATAGTATTACCTGTTTGTGAGTAAAGTCTTTGGCACAGAACCACATCTTTTCAGTGTAGTCTTGATGACTAGTCTTCTTTCTCAGAGTCTGCATTCAGAGAACTCAGGCCCCTGAAGTCTGACACCTCATCATCTTAGGGGTGGGGAGGTGCAAGTTAAGAGGAGCAGTGATGGTTCTGCAAAGATCTCCAACTCACAGCTTGATTCCACAAATATCTACCATTTGTCTACCGAGTACTAGGGTTGGTAGAAAGCCCTGGGATGCAGACATAACCAAGACAATCCCTGAAGTGCTCCAGGAGGTGGGTAGAGCAAACATGAACCCAGAACTTCAGTCCATAGTGGAGAGGGCTCTTACAGAATAGAAACCAAAGGCTTGTGTTGTTGGGGGAGGAGGGCGGAGGTGGGGAGGAACATGGTCTGGAGAAAGGAACAGCCAGTCCTGTACAAGACAGGACCTGGGGCTGGTTCTTACAGGGTTAACAGTGTTGCCAGACAGGTAGATACAGAAAGGCAGTTTGGGCAGCTGTAGCTGTCTGAGCAGACACTGGGCAGAATATAGCTTTTGGCTGGGAACTTGTTTCATCTTCCCCACCTGGAGTAAGTGTGGGTTTAGTTGTAGTTGTTGTTGTTGTTTTCTTTTTTTTTTTTTTTTTTGAGATGGAGTTTTACTCTTGTTGCCCAGGCTGGAGTGCAATGACGCAATCTTAGCTCACCGCAACCTCCACCTCCTGGGTTCAAGCGATTCTCCTGCCTCAGCCTCCCGAGTAGCTGGGATTACAGGCATGTGCCACCACGCCTGGCCAATTTTGCATTTTTATTTTTATTTATTTATTTATTTATTTATTTTTATTTATTTTTTTTTTTGCGACGGAGTCTTGCTCTGTCGCCCAGGCTGGAGTGCAGTGGCCGGATCTCAGCTCACTGCAAGCTCCGCCTCCCGGATTCACGCCATTCTCCTGCCTCAGCCTCCCGAGTAGCTGGGACTACAGGCGCCCGCCACCTCACCCGGCTAGTTTTTTTGTATTTTTTAGTAGAGACGGGGTTTCACCATGTTAGCCAGGATGGTCTCGATCTCCTGACCTCGTGATTCGCCCGTCTCGGCCTCCCAAAGTGCTGGGATTACAGGCTTGAGCCACCGCGCCCGGCCAATTTTGCATTTTTAGTAGAGACAGGGTTTTACCATGTTGGTCAGGCTGGTCTCGAACAACTGACCTCAGGTGATCCACCCGCCTCCGTCTCCCAAAGTGCTGGGATTATAGGCATGAGCCACCTTGCCCGGCCAAGTGTGGGTTTTAGAAGCCAGCCTGGGTTAAGTGCAGTGGCTCATGCCTGTAATTCTAGCACTTTGGGAGGTCAAACTGAAAGGATCATTTAAGGCTGAGCTCCAGGCTGTGACAAGCCATGATTGCACCACTGCACTGCAGCCTGGGCAACAGAGCAAGACCCTGGCTCAAAATAATACATAAATAAATAAATAAATAAATAAATAAATAAATAAATAAAAAGTTTTTCTTGGAGAAATAAGAAAATAAAATTTTTTTAATTAAATTTTTTTAAAAATTGAAAAATTAAAAAAAGAAGCCAGACAGTTGCATGAGGAAGGGGTCAAGATCCAGGCCCTGTCCCTGGCCAGAGCATGGTGCACAGCAGGTGCTCAATAAATAGCTGTCCAGGGGATGGATGGATGGATACTGGGAGAGAAGATATTAAGGATAGAATGATGGTCTGTAGATATTTTAACATGCTGTTTTGTGGAAGAGATTGCAGACTTCATTGATTAATTCCAAGGGGTAGAATTAAGGTCAAGGGAAAGAAGTTGGTTTTAAGAATAACTGTTTTCGGCCGGGCGCGGTGGCTCAAGCCTGTAATCCCAGCACTTTGGGAGGCCGAGACGGGCGGATCACTAGGTCAGGAGATCGAGACCATCCTGGCTAACCCAGTGAAACCTCGTTTCTACTAAAAAATACAAAAAACTAGCCGGGCGAGGTGGTGGGCGCCTGTAGTCCCAGCTACTCGGGAGGCTGAGGCAGGAGAATGGCGTAAACCCAGGAGGCGGAGCTTGCAGTGAGCTGAGATCCGGCCACTGCACTCCAACCTGGGCGACAGAGCCAGACTCCGTCTCAAAAAACAAAACAAAACAAAAAAAAAAGGAATAACTTTTTTCCTAGATTTGTGCTTAATTGAACCTTTGCCTAAGTTATATAGCTTTTTAAAAATTAGAGGTTTCCTGTAAAAATTCTTAGGTGCCACCAGGACCCTAATCTGGAGCTGCCAAGGGGGTCTGGGAGGAGACAACATCAAATAATTACACTATAACTTAATGATAGCTGTGAAAAGGGTTATGAAGAAGCTGGGTCATTGGTACAATGGTTCTGAGTATGTGACACTGGACTTGAGATGTTGAGAATGTTGTTAAGGGAAGGATGCTGGTAGAGAGAAGAGGTAAGGGTGCAGGCAGAGAAAACAACTTGTGCAAGAGCCTCCCCCAAGAGTGGGAGTGGGTGGAGGAGAAAAAGAGCAGGGCTTGTTAACAAAGAGAAGGTCCCAGAAGAGGTGAGTCCAGATTGGAGAGGTATGCAGGGGTTAGACCATGTAGAGCTAAGTTGGCCACAATTCCAATTTTGAGTGTGAGGAACATGGTTTTTTATTCACTAGTGTTTCCTTAGTGCCTAGTAGACTAGTGGCGCTCAACATTTGGTGAAAGATTTTATCCTAAAAATTATGGGAACTCAGTTTTATGCAGAGAAGTGAAATAATGATATTTTTCTCATTTTCATCATGTATAAAATGAGAATAACGGTCATTGTGGTGAACATTCTGTAAAACAAAAATAAAATTCTAAGCCCCCCCCAACCCCCACCATCTGAATGGACTTCCTCTTCAGCCAGGGCTCTTTTAAAATTTAACAGAGTGACTGTTTCAAGGCATGACGGGAAGTGGGAGTTGAACATGCCTCATTATACCTCTCCAGCGTTAACATCAACACAGACTTTAAATTTGATAAGAAACATTTTACAACCCATTCTCTCTGAAGCCTAGGATTTGAAGGTTTCCTCTGCAAATAGGAACTTGGGTCTCCACAATCCTTCATCTTAACCCAGACATTCCTTTCTATTGATCTCAGGTCTTTAGAGAAACTCAACCAATTGTCAACCAGAAAAATTTAAAACCTACCTATAAGCTGGAAGCCCCCCACCGCCTCACTTTGAGTTGTCCCGCCTTTGTGTTGTCTCACAAACCAATGTCTTTCTTTCTTTCTCTCCCTCCCCTCCCCTCCCTTCCCTTCCTTCTTTCCTCCTTTCCTTCTTTCTTTCCTTCTTTCTGTTAGGAACAACACCCAAAATCCTAAGGGAAATTGAACACTCGAACAAAGGATTCTTAGCAAAGCAATTTTACTTCTGTGCAGAGGGGTGTCTGTTTGGCCAGTCGCCATGAGAGCACACCTGAACAAAGGGGCACGAGAGCCTTTATTCCTGACGCAAGTCCTGCGGGTCATACAATCTAAACTAATCCCGGTTGGCTAAACACTTGAATTTTTTAGATAAGGTGGACTTTTAAAAGAAAATGGAGAGGAAGGGGAAGGGGTGCCTGTAATGAACTACAAAGTTAGTCCTCTTTCCAAATA